AGGAAAAAGTTTCTAGAAAAAAAAATTGGAACTAGTGGCAGAATTTGACATTGGTTGTAAATTGCTTGGATATTTGATTATAGATTATACATATTTATAAGGGTTAATTATGCTAATTCATAAAAGTTCACTATGAATTGATTTATCTTGAATCAATGTTAAATTTCCTGAATTTGATCATTGTACTGTGTTTATGTAAGAGACTACCCTCATTGTTTGGAGATATACAATGAATTATTTAAAGCTGAAGGGTTATAATCTCTGAAATTGACCCTGAAATGATTCAGGAAAAAAAATTAGAACAAAAAATAACTAATAATTATATTATTTATAATAACTTATAAATGATAAAAATAATGAGGATCTTGTTATGCTGTATCTAGCAACAGAGAAAGCAAACATAGCAAAATGTTAACAATACATAAATTAATGTAGGTAAAGTGTGTAAGAAAGATTCTTATAATTTACCTTACAATTTCTCTGTATCTTTAAAGTTTTTTCCAAAATAAAAAGTTTAATTAATCCAGGTACATCTGTAATCCCAGCTACTCAGGAGGTAGGGATGAAGAGTTCAAAGCCAGCCCGGGGAGAATGATGGAGGGGTGAATTCAACTATGATATATTGTAAGAAATTTTGTAAATGTCACAATGTACCCCCAGCACAACAATAATATAATGATAATTTAAAAAAAAACCAGCCTGGACAAATTGTTCCAAAGACCCTCTCTTGCACAAAATTACCCAACACAGGGCTGGTGGAGTGGCTCAAGTGGTAGAGCGCCTGCCAAGCAAGCATGAGGCCCTGAGTTCAAACCCCAGTTCCACCAAAAAAAGTTCAATTAAAAAAGATAAACCAGTCTGGACATTTCCCAGGGCACCTATCTAAAGGGATGATAAAAATCTCACTGGAAATGTAACTTGAAAAAAATCCTGTAGACTTGTGAAAGTCTACAGAAAGATTCCATTTGTGTAACAGTAAAATGGAGAGTAGACTAGTAGTTTCCAGAGAGATCAGGAAGTAGCAGCACGGAGGAAAGTAGAATTTATTGGTTACAAAAGGGAAATATAAAGGATCCTTGGATAGTTCTGTATCTTGCTGTGGTGATGGTCACACACATCTATACATGTGAACTAAGCGTGTGTGTGCACATAAAACTGCAGAAATCTGAATGAGGTAGGAGTGTACGAATGTCAGTTTCCTCATTTGGATATGATAACCATGCTTCATGGGGAAAGACTGAATGAAGGACATGTGGGATCCATATTCACGCATGCAAATTTACAATTACCACAAAATAAGTAGGTTTAAAATGGGGGACTTTGTGACATATGAAATAAATCTTAGTAAAATAGTGTTTTTAAAAAATGAGTCTAGTCGTATGGGGGACTTATTGCTATTGCTCTAAGTTACTGTTTGTCACTGGAAGCAGGACCTGGGGAACAATGGGAGGGTGAGTCTTGTCATCATAGTGAGAACATTTTTGGCCTGAAGGTTAGCTTGCCTGCATTCCACAGGACAGAATTGCACCACAAACAATCAGATATGATCCCTCATTAAATACCTGTCAGAAATTCAAATAGCTACACACACACATATAAACAATAACAAATTTGTTTATAATTAAGTATAGAACTTAACCCATTTACAAATATAACTGAAAGTAGTTTGTCTACAGCTTTAATGTACACATTTTCCAGGAATACAATTCTGTAAAAGGAGGGAAGGTTGTTTTACCTAGAGTTATTCACCATTTCAGAAAATCCTATGAATAGTGACAATACTTTCAGTATCTGAGTCAACACAACATATTTTAAACATTTTTTGGAGGAACTGAGCTTTAAGCTCAGGGCTACGTGCTTGCAAAGTAGGTGCTCTACTGCCTGAGCCACACCTCCAGGGCTACACGACATATTTTAATAAGTCTCCCTGTGAGTTGGCTATTGTTTGTATGTCTATATATTTTACATATGTGCATTTACATACACATGCATTAATGATATCTATTCGTGCAAGCTATATTGTATGTGTTTAGTCTTTTTTTGCAGTACTGGGGTTTGAACTCAGGGCTTGCACTTTGAACCATACCACTCCTTTTTTTTTGTGGTGGGTTTTTCAAGATAGGGTCGTAAGGACTATTTGCCCAGGCTGGCTTTGATCCTCCTGCTCTCTGGCTCCTGAGTAGCTAGGAGTATAGGCATGAGCCACTGGCACCCCACAAGTCTTTATTTTGAGGTCAAATACAAACCAAAGTATTAACCATATTCAATTTTTTTCTTCATTTATTCATATGTTCGTACATTGTTTGGGCCATTTCTCCTTCCTATACCCTCCCTCTCCCCCGACCATATTCAATTGAATATTATCTTCTGAAACCAAACTCATTCATTAGGAGTAGATGTAGGTATCTGACTACTCCACGAAGTCATCCAATACTGACCAGCCTGTGCATCTATGTATAATACATATTGTTTTATGTTAATTTCTCTATTAGATTTCTCATCATTGTGACAAAATACCTGACAAAAACAACTTAAGGATTTATCTTGGCTCAAGTTTTCATAGAGTTCAGTCCATCATGACGGGGAGAGTGTAGCAGAGCAAAGCAACTCACAGTGTGGTGGCCAGGAAGCAGAAAGAGAAAGAATGCCTAAGCTAGCTGATTTTTTCCTTTTTCTCTGTTATTCCATCAGGCCCCCAGTCTAGGGGATAGTGTTTCCCACATTTGGGGCAAGTCTTCTTCTTTAGTTAGTGCTCTCTGGAAACCCCTATCAGACACACCCAGAGGTGGGCTTTTACTAATCTCCTAGGTGCTTCTCAGTTCATTCAAGCTAACAAGCAAGATTAACTACCATGATTAGTTTCCTTTTTTCTCCTTTGTATTGTATTACATGGAATAGTACTGTATTTCAATTCTTTCTTTTTTAACTCAGGGCCTCACACTTGCTAGACAGGTGCTCTACCACTGGATCCCCTCCAACAGCCCTGTTTTCTGTTGGGTATTTTCCAGATAAGGGTCTCAAGAACTGTTTTCCTGGGCTAGCTTCCAAACTCCATCCTCCTTGCCTCATGAGTAGCTAGAATTACAGGCATGAGCGACTGGCCCTGGGTTAATGGGGGCATTGGGCCAGGCCAATTACAGACTCACGCCTATAATTCTTACTACTCAGGAGGCAGAGATCAGGAGGATCATGATTCAAAGACAGCCCTGGACAAACAGTTGAGACCCTATCTCAAAAAAAAACCCAGTGATAGAGTGCTTGCCTAGCATGTGCAAGGCCCTGGGTTTGACCCCACAGCACTGCAAAAGCAAAAAAGCAAGCAAACAAAAAAAACCCCAACAACAAAACAAACCAGACTGAAGCCTGAAGGGGTTAGTCCAGCACTACACACAAAGTGTTATAAGAAGGAACAAAATATGAGCTATTCCAGAAGTGATAGATAATGGACAGGTCATTCTGCCTAAAAGTCAGTGTGTTAGGGTATGGAAAATGGGAATGCCAAATCATGAGAGTTTAAGTTGAACATGTGAGCATGTGCATCCATTAGAACTGAATTCAAATCCTGGAGTCAGTTACTTGGTAGTTGAGTTGGGTAAGTTATTCATCCTTCTGAGTTTTAGTTTCATTGTCATGAAAATAGAGATTAACACTCACATCCTCCAGTCTTTTATTTATTTTTGATGGTAATGGGGCTTGAACTCACACTTGCTAGGTAGGCACTTTACCACTTGACCAACTTCTTCAGTCCGCTTTCTGGAAGAGAAGTTTATTACAGTCATCTAGACCTGGGTGGTAGTAAGGGAAATAGCTAGAAAGGTGAATAAATAGAGGTTTGGGTACACAGGGGGGTCAGTGATTAAAAGAAGAGGGTACGGGAGTCAAAGATATGTGTGGGTTTGTGGCTTAGGCAACTGAGAAGGTGCTGGTCATTGAGACAGGTAGTACAAAAAGCAGTAATGGTTTTTAGGGGGAAACAGTAAGTTCAATTTCTGACTTTGCATCTGAGGAGCCCATGGGATGTCATAAGTGCCCAACAGGTACTAGGATATACATCTATGGGTTTAGGAGATGATGTGGGTTTCCGCTAGACTAGGAAGAGTCAATGTATGAACTCATAACTAAAGGCCAAGGGTGATAGTGGGGGATGAGACAGGCCAGGGAAAATAAGAGTGAGAGGAGGTGCAAGGCCTGAGTCCTAGAATACATTTAATGGCTGGGCAGAGAACTGAGATGGAGCACCCTATGGGTAGGAATAAAAAGAAAAGTTACGGAGTTACAGAAGCTGATGGAGGACTTTGTGTGTCAACAGAGAGAGCACAGGTAGAGCAAGGTTTGAGAGTGAGATTAGCAAGTAGTTATGGCTGACCTTAATCAGAGGCTTTTCTAGGAGTGTAAGCCAGACTACAGAGGAACAGGAGGGGAGGAAAAGGGCCACCACAGGCAACTCTTTATGGGAAATTGGCGACCAAGGAGATGGGCAGGTGGGGGAAATGTGGACTGAAGTAGCTGGGGTGGAGGGATGGAGAGACAAGCATGACCAACTGCCACTGGAACGGAGTCCGTGGAAAGAGAGAGGTGGAAACTTCAGGGGTGTAAAGAAACACTGATTCATTCAACAATCAGCCGAGCACGCTCTCGAGAACGCGCGTGTGGGCTCCTCACAATCACAGGTCAACGTGAGCTTCATCATTAGGGGAAAATGGCTCCCCTTAAACTATTCCGATTCTGATCCTCACTCCCGAAGACACCCGGTACAGTGCCACACACCGCTCCACCTCAGAATCCCATTGAACACTTCAGGTCGCAAGCAGGTAACGGATCGCTAGCTGGGCCAAGCTACTGACACCAACACTACGGCCTCCCTCAGCTCCGCCTCATTCGTGAGAACAGCTGAAACAGTACAAGGAATAGCCCACGGGCTAAGCTCCGCCCCCTCTCTTTGTTTCTCCTATACGAAGATCTCGCGAGAATAAGAAGACAAATCTCGCGAGCGCAGACCCGGGGGGCCACCTTTGCGAATCTCGCGGTGTTTGCGCGAGACTGCTTCCTTCCTTCCTCCCTTGCTCGTCCTCCTGCTTTCCTCCCCCTCTTCCCCGCCCGGCTTCCCCCTTCTTCCCACGCCGGTCCCCTCCCCGCAGGGATAATATGGTCTCCGGCGATGGACGTGCCAAGTGCAGGTCAGTTTCCGGCTGCGGGTTTGGGTCTGGCTGCTGGAGACGCGCGCCGTGTGCCTTGCGTCTCTGGCTTGGAGTCGGCCCGCGGGCCGACGCCGGGCCCTCGGGGCTTGGGTCGTGTTCCCCTCAGGGCCTGCCTGCCTGCTGGGCGGCATTCGGTGCCCAGGCCGCGAAGCCCGATCTCCCCGCTCCCCACCCCCACTCCAGCGGGACCCTGCGGGACCCGATGCCCCGCCGCACCCCGGGTAGCCGCTGCGGGATGCCAGCGGCTTCCCTGTCCTCCCTGCTGTGACACTAGGGACAGAGAGAGGCCCACCATCTTTCTCTGCCAGCCTCCCCCCGTTTGTGTTCAGTGGGGGTGGGGGCCGCAGTCTTCCTTGCTTTTGAGTGTTACGCAGCCAGTTGTTTATGCCACCGACTGAGTTGGAGCCCCTCCCGCCCTCTCTCTCGGCCCCTGGAAGCCGAATGAGGGGCAGTCAAGGCCGAGCATTAGTCAACCAGGCTCCCGATCGTTTTTTGCAGTGCTCAGCCTCCTCCCCTGTCCACCTCGCTCCACAAAAAAATAAAACCACTATCCATTCTGCAACTGGACTGTGCTTATCTGTGCTCATGCTGGGCGAGGGCCCCAACAGTGTTGAAGGTCCTGCCCACCCGGCGCAGTGAGTCTGCACAAAAGATCGGAAGGTTCTTTTCAGCCTCAAAGTTGCCTCCCCAACCACTTTCCGAGAAAGAATAGTAGGAGCTGGGCCTTTGACGTTGTGGTTCTGCTTGGACTGGTGCAAAACCAGAAGGGTTTGTCTCTTAGGAGAATACGCTAATTTACCTAGCTATTTGGTTGGCCAATTTTTATCTTCAGTTTTAATTCTTGAGAAGTTTTTTTGTTTTGTTTTAGGTTTTGTCTGTTGTTGAACGCCCTGCTAAAAGTTTTGCCTTTTGATTTTTTTTTTTTTAGATCAATCTTCTGATATAATTGTGTTCTCAAATTGTTCTGTCAGGACATGTCTTTCTAAAACATGCCTGAACATCGTTTAAATAATTCTTATTGTCCCTTTTCAGGCATTGTTAACATTTCTTAAGAGTGGCTGATCTGATCAGTGTTTTCTTGACAAGAGTCATGGTTTAGAACTATACTATCCCAATAAGGTGGACACCAGCCACATAGGACTTTAATTAACATGAAATAAATTTAAACGTTCTGTTCCTCAGTCACTGTAGCCACATATCAAGTGCTCAGTGGCCATAGTAGCTGATTGGACAGTACAGATGTAGACTGTTTCCACCATTGCTGGAAAAGTTCTGTTGAGCAAATTTTCAGATATTGAAATAAGACACTTTGTAGCTTTATTTATGAGTAGCCTGTTTAATGGAAGTATATATATTTTTTTTTTCAGGATATGCCTTTGATTATCTTATTGAAACTTTAAATGACAGCTCACATAAGAAGTTCTTCAATGTACCTAAACTTGGAGGCACCAAGTATGGTAAGTTTTGCATTTTCTTGGGTTTGTTTAGTCTCTAGTAATTGAAATTCATTTGTCAACTGGAGTTGAAGACATGTTAAATTTGTTTCTACCATGTTGAAACAGGTACACCATTTAAAAAGCTCCTGGGACAACTTTTGTTTGAGGAAGATGTAAGCCTTAATTTCTCATTTAAAAATTTAAGTTAATTGAGTAATATTTTTCTCCTGAGAAACTAATAATTTTTTAAAAGAAAAACTATTGATGTTCTGTAGTGATCGAATGTATATGTAATTTTTCAAGTGAACAGTGCCTAAGTTATTCTTTATGCTACCCTTTGAATAGGAATCATCACCTGAGCCCATTGATTTGAGCTGTTCTCCAGTATTGGGCATGTTTTGCTCTTACCCTTACACTGACACACTGACACTTTAGACATTTGCACACATTCAGTTAGGGTGGTTTCAAAAGAATGAACTTGGCTAACCTCCCAGGCTCTTGACTTCATTGATAGTTGAGTAATTTTCCCAACCAGACCAATGCACGGAAGACCTGTCTAGAAGAGTGATTACTCCTAGCAAACTTGGCAGTGAAAACTACACAAAAAGAAATGCCAAGCCTAGTGTAGTCAGTTTTGTGGGAATATTTTTTAATCTTGATTTTTTTCCCTTTGCATTATTTTAGTTAAATTAAGAGGCTTGTTCTTGTGATTTTTTTCTGTAGGTTTTTATGAATTTAAATATTCTGGACTGCCATGTGCAGTGTTTTTTTGTACGTTGTTAGAAGATTTAGATATTTTGGCATATTTTATTTTGTTTTGGCAGCACAGGCCCACCTTTTTTCTTGAGTTGGGGTCTCATGACCTTTTTTTGCTAGGCTGGACTGGAACTGCACTCCTTCTGATCTCAGCCTCCCATGTAGCTTAGGATAACAGGCGTGCACCACGGCACCCAGTTGTTGATTGAGATTGAATTCCATGAACTGTTTGCCTAGGCTGGCCTTGAATTGCTCTACCACTTGAGACACACCACCAGCCCTATTTTTGTGAGGGGTTTTTCGTTACATGTCCTATTTCCCCGGGCTGGCTTTGAACCATGATCCTCCTAATCTCTGCCTCCTGAGTAGCTAGCATCACAGGCATGAGTCACTGGCGCCCAGCTACGAGTTAACAGAGGTTGGTGTTTTCTTAATGTGTCTTAGTGTTTTCTTAATGGTGTCTTCCATTCACATTCATTTTATCCCTTTAGTGATAAATTTGCATTAGTTTAGGAAAAGTTAAACTGACAGTTTATAAGAAAGTTTTTTTTTTTAATCTCCCTCCTCAAAAATATCTAGTGATTCTGGCCTAGAAGTGTTTTTTTAACCCAAATTTTGTAGATTAGCAAGTTAAAAGAGCATATGTGAATATGGTTTTATTTTTATTTATTTTTGTGGAACTGGGGTTTGAACTCAGCTGTGCTATTTGAATCATGACTCTAGTCCATTTTGCTCTAGTTATTTTGGAGATGGGATTGCACAAACTATTTGCCTTATCTGGCCTTGAACTGCAGTCCTCCCATTCTCAGCTCCAAAGTAGCAATGATTATAGGCATGAGCACCAGTGCCCAGGCATGAGGATGGTTTTAAACTTGAGAATAAATACTTTCTGTGGGTAATTTGTAGAATTGTGCCTGTTTGAACATCGTTAATATTCCCCAAAACAGGGAATCAAAAACAACTAAAAAAACGTATTGAAAGGGAATGATTAATATGAAAGTTAAATTATTTCAGACGGAAAATAAGCTGTAAGGGTATCTGTACATAACTGCACAGAAGCACATTTGTACATAATCTCAGAGCTATCAGAGTTTTACAACCATAATAAATGTAATAGAATGATTATAAATATAAATGCCTTCAAAACAAACTTGTTTTTTATTTCTGTAGGGTCAATATCCTGGTTTATTTTTAGAATATTATTATGAGAGGTTTGTTAATAGTTATTTAAGTAATTTCTTAGTGATTACTTGGAATAAAATTTAAAATTAACTTTGAAAGGAAGCATCTTAGGTAGAAAGCATTTTGCTTGTTTAGCATTAGAATGAAAATTCTTGTTCTGAAGGACCAGATTGAGTGACTTCACAGACTTGTGTTTACAAGAAGATAGTGCTTTGGTAATCACCAAGATTCAGGGCCTTGCCAAGTGCCAGTAGCTCACATCTGTAATTCTAGCTACTTAGAAGGCAGAGATCAGGTGGATTGTAGTTTAGAGCCAGCCCTGGGCAGCTGGTTAGCAGGACCCTACCTTGAAAATACCCAACACAAAAAAGGGCTGGTGGAGTGGCTCAAGCAGTAAGAATGCCTGCCTAACAAGTGTGAGTCCTGAATTCAAATTCCAGTATCACACACACAAAAACAAGGTTCAGGGCCTCTACCTTCTGTGCCCCATTCCACCTTTGCATGCCTGTGAGGTTGAGAATCAGAACCTAAAGATTAACTATTAACAACGGGAATGCATTGTATTCTTCATAGCTGCTGGGAGGAAAGGTAGTTGAGAACCCAGCTGCACGGAGCTGAAAACCTGCTGCATGGTAACTTCAGCAAATAGGGGTTTGTGTTTCTATGTCACCAGTCTCAGCCAGGATATAGGCCTCTCCATTTTGCCTCTGTTTTCTTTTTTTTCCCCCCACAATGGGGATTGAACCCAGGGCCTTCCACATGCTAGGTAAGCACTGTACCACTGAGCTACATCCCCAGCCCTTGGGGTTTTGCGACGGTCTTGCTGTGTGGTCCAGGCTGGTCTTAGACTTCTGCCTCCACCTCCTGAGTGCTGGCGTAACAGGAGTGCTTCACTATGCCTGGCTCTATTTTGCTTTTATTATTTTTTTTGGTTGCTGAGTAGCTATTGCACCTGCAGGCATTATGTCCATGTTTCAAGCAGGTGGAAGGGCAAAACAGGAAGAAACTTTTTTTTCTTTTTTTTGGGCGATACTAAGGTTTAAACTCAGGGCCTACACAATGAGCCACTGTGCCAGCCCTTTTTTCTGGGTTTTTTTGAGGTAGAGTTTGCAAACTGTTTGTCCAGGCTGGCTTCAAACCTCGATCCTGATCCTAGCTAGGATTACAGACGTGAGCCACCTTGATAGGAAGAATCTGCTCAGTCAAAATGTCAGTAGCCACCCTTAGCTTCAAGAAGGCTGAACTGTGGTAGTTTTAGCTTTATAGCTTTTATATTAGAGAAAGGAAAGGAAGAAGTGCTTGAGAATGGGTGGTATTGAGCCAGACTGGACTGTCTGCCTCACTTACCTAATGTCCTTTCTTATTTAGTTTTTAGACAGGGTGGAACACAAATTATTTGAGTTATGCTTTTTTTAAAACTATGTCCTTTTTGCTTCACAGATTTATACTGAGGGTACAGAAGTGGACCCCTAGATGTTAACTACATTTTGATCTTACATGATTCCTCTCTTGGAGAATTGCCTTTTTGATGTTCTGGTGCTGCCTATTTGGCACTGTACTCCAGTGACTACAAATTTAGAGATTTTGAGTGACTCTCTTAAGTAGATACCCGAATTTGAAAACATACCTGCTTCCGAGGCAGAGGGCAGTCTCTGTTGCTGGACTAGTCAGAGACTGCTTTCGGCAGGAACTGAGGCTTGGTGTTGGATAAAGAGCATATGAGAGAGGGCACTGAGCCTTAGAGAATTAGAGTGAACAGCATCACGGAAACATGAGTGAACATGCTGGCGAGGGAGAAGGTAGCAAAGAGACTGGCCAGCCTGAAGTGTTCTCTTACCAGAGGATTCAGCAAACAGTGGGACTGTTATTTAACAGGGCTTACCTAAGGTAGTGCTACTTTTCTTTTAAGATGAATATGGTATTTCCAGAGTATCAAACAATTGAAACAAATATGTGCCGTATGAATAAAATTTCCAAACATGTTCAAAAACAAATAACATCTAGCGTCATATACCAACTAGAAATAATTTTTGTATGTGTAAACTGAGTGTAACACTTGAACATTTCAAAAGAAGTTGCTGTTCTGTCACACATTATTAAAGTCTTCTGAATAATAATAAGACATTTCAACTACAAGACAAATGAAGATTAAAAATAGCAATAGTGCATCTTACAGTTTGAAGTGTTCATTTTAGAAGTAGCTATTCTTGGGCAGTACAGTCTTGAGTAGTGTAAAAGCTCAGGCCCCTTTTTTATTTCAGGTCATCTCATTCACACACACCCCTCCTTTTTCTTCCCCCTTCCTATCTGTTTACTTTCATAACCACAGTATCACTTAGTTGTCAAATAGAGCCAGAACTTCATGTCCAAATTCTACCTTGCAGCTGGGCATGGTGTTTCACACCTGTAATCCCAGCATTCTAGAGGCAGAACAAGAGGATCAAAAGTTTGAGGTCAGCCTGGGCTACATAGCCTACTTCATAGTGAGACCTTGTCTCAAAAAACACACAAAAGAACCCCCGAGGACTTGGGCTGGGGACTTGGCTTAAGTAATAAGAGTACCTGCCTAGCAAGCTTGAAGCCCTGTGTTCAAAACCCTAGTATTGCCAAAAAAGCAAACCTAAAAACCCCCACAAGGGCTGAGTGGTAGAGTGCCTGCCTCATTTGCAAGTCCCTCAGTTTGTCCCCAGCACGACAAAACAAATGAACAAACCCTCCCTCGCAATCTCTGAAAGAAAATCTGTATTTACTATTTTAGTAGAGTTTTTAAGTGTTTATAAGAATTATGAAATGAGCCACACGTGGTGATGCACATTGTAGTCCCATTTACTTAGGAGGTGGACATTGGGAGAATGGAGATTCAAGTCCAGCCTGAGCGAAAAGTTAGTAAAATCCCATCTCAGCAAAACAAGCCTGGTATGGTGGTAGGGGTCTGTAATTCTAGTTAAGTGAGAAGCCATAGGTAGGAGGTTTACAGTGTGAATTGCCCATGGGGCAAAGTTTGGAACCCGTACCTGAAAAATAAAGCAAAAATGTGCTGGGTGCATGGCTGAGGTGGTAGAGCACTTGGCCTAGCAAGCATG